AACAAAACAAAAATACCGGATGCAACGATATTGAAATATTTGGTACATGAAGCCACGATCTGATAGATATACATCGAAATCTACAATCTACTTAATATAATATAGATAGAAATTAATATATAATATATGAAATTAATCTTTGATCTTGAATCAAAGAAAGATAATAAAATGGCTCTTTATGTGACTTGGAAGAAAGGTTTCTCTGTAGAGGAAAGGAATAACAATTTATTCCTATAATTTTTCCTATAGAAAATCTAGTAACAAGAAGATTTAATCGGAAAGATCGACAAATTCTTGTGGAGTCCAAAACAAAAATGAAATAAAAAATCAACCGCCCCAATTTCATCTCTATCGAATTTTAATATCAGAATAGCGGATATAGTCATGATTCAATAGGTCAGGTCCACTTACTTTTTCTTTGTTGATTTCTAACCTTTCGAATGGATTTGGTTGGTATAATGGAAAATAGGAATATTCGGTGATTCAAGAAGTGACTTTTCATTATTCATAAACATAATAATGAAAAATTTACTAAACAAATGTTCAACTTTCTAACTAAGTATAATCATAATGTATTATCCAGTTAGTTACTTATTTTAATATTACAAATAAAAATATAAATTCTCTCAAATATGAATGTTTAGATTGGAGTTTTACAAAGCCCCTTATCGGATTTGAACCGATGACTTACGCCTTACCATGGCGTTACTCTACCACTGAGTTAAAAGGGCCTTTTATTTAATTCCGAATTATTCACTATGTGGATAAAATATCTATATGTACATATATTATAAACATAAGTATATATGCATAAGTACGTGCAGTAGATACATAGTGTCTAGTGACTCATTGTTGAATAATAAAATGGATTTAATTTAGTAAGTCTAGGAGAAAATGCAATGAATTGTTTCAAGACCGACTCGAAGTGCTTTTTTATTTTAGTGAATTGATCCCACCAGAACAAAATTCACTTGATTGATAAGCATGTACATACACCTATCAATTCAACATAAAATTAAAGATATTTCATCGAATCATAGATGAAGAGATCATTTGTCACTGAACTAAATTCTGGAGAAAAAGAATTTGCTGCTTAATCCCGCTTACTATTTCGTTTGTTAATTTCCTGTCTTGGTGGAGGGAGATAAGGATATCTCGTCTTAACAATGAATCAAATAAAAGTGAAAGAAATCGAATTTCACACCTTTTCCTTTTCTGACGGACCAATCATTCCCTGAAAATCCTACTCTTTTCCTTATTATTTCGATTTTTTGTATTTATTAATTTTAATTAAATTACATGTTTTTTTTGTTTTTTTAACAAAAAAGAAAATTCTAAATAAAATTCGAAATACTAAATAATCTAAACTAAAATAATCGAAATAAATTCAATTGAAATAATTCAAAAAAAAAATACTACTACTAGATTTCTAATGGTGATTCTAATGAATAATTCATCAATGACGAATAAAAATAATTCTATGCAAAGTCTGAAAGGGGAAAGATCCTCGGATAGAATCATCATTCGATTATATTGACAATTTCAAAAAACTGATCATACTATGATCATAGTATGATGGCCGTTGGTCAAGCAGGCCCCCATCGTCTAGTGGTTTAGGACATCTCTCTTTCAAGGAGGCAGCGGGGATTCTGGAATTCTGGGGTAGTACTACGAAAGGAAGCTGGATCATGGATTACCAATAAGTCTAAAATTGATTCTTCCTGGGTCGATGCCCGAGTGGTTAATGGGGACGGACTGTAAATTCGTTGGCAATATGTCTACGCTGGTTCAAATCCAGCTCGCCCAATAATTCGCCAATCCGCCATGAGATGATATAACCCTTTGTACTTCAGAAATACCTGATCCGGAGATAAAAAATCAAAATTTTCTGCTAGATCCCGTATTTCCCTGGGATTGTAGTTCAATTGGTCAGAGCACCGCCCTGTCAAGGCGGAAGGTCTGAGCCTCCGTCAGTCCTGACGGATCCAATAAATATATCAATAAATCTCTCCTGCGGTGGACCGGGGACAGAATTTCATTGTCAAAGCAAAGGGAAATCCTTATTTCTTTTTTCTTTCCCTTTTGGTCGGAGAAAGACATATGCGGGTGGATAGTACACTTATTGGTAGCATTATAGGCAGTATTCCAAGAAAATGCTGCTTTTTTCGATTGTCCCCGATGCATGTAATATAATCGAGTACTATACCTTTTTGAGGCGTGCATACACAAAGGGAATTCCTTTCTTGTCCAATACAAATTGAATAATAAAATACTCTCCAGAAAAACAAAAAAAAACAATTTATTTTTTCTGGCTACGGGATTTATGGAACTCACTTATTTAGTTTGAAGGGGAAAATGGATTTCAGGCAAATTGCACACTGAGCTTTTGGTATAGGTGTCCGGGGCTAATAATCTACGAAGAAAGGAGGGGGAAGGACAGATCAACCAAAGATCCAACTCCTCTTAGAACGGGGAATGAATCATTTTTCCGATTTTTAATTTTGTTTTAAGGCCCCATCACGAAAGAACAAATCGGAAAATAGTAAATTTGATGAATATTCATTTTATACGATCTCATCTTTATCACACTTCTCTTTGTCTTCCAAGTCAAAAAGGGTTTAGAACGAAACTCTTTTCTTTTTCCATTTAGCTTTGATTGTTTGTTTGGGTTTGTAACTATGTGACCACTGGAAGTGGAAGAGCTATTTGATGAGACTTCATCAGATGATTGTACAAGAAGGAACTAGATAGATTGAGAGAAAAAAGAACAGATGATAAAAAAATTATAAAATACAATAATAAAGGAATTTTGGGATTGGGTCAGGAACTGGAGTTTAAGTGTATGATAAAGAATTTATAAAAGAGTACTATTCAATTTCGAATGACGAATTGATTTGATAGTTCAGATATTGTTATTCATGATATTGATCCGAATTCAAGATCATCAGAGGTTATTCATTCATTGAATTTACAGGCCAAAGATTTATCATCTCTATGGGATTAAATCCCGAGTTATTGCGAAGTAAAAACCGATGAGATTATGGAAGTAAATATTCTTGCATTTATTGCTACTGCACTATTTATTCTAGTTCCTACCGCTTCTACTTATCATTTATGATGTAAAAACAGTCAGTCAAAACGATTAAGTATTAACTAATTTGAATGAAACTTGGACTTCTGGAGTTCTTAGCCAAAATTGACGAAATAAATGAAAAGATTCCAATTTCATGTCTTAAATGAAATGAGTGGACTAGAATCGGCAGTATTCTAATAGATAGTATGGTAGAAAGATTCATCTATTTCTCATAAACTATTTATTAGTTAGATTGTAGTTATAAAGCTGCTCTGAATAAAATAAAGATAGAGGTTGCATTTGATATGGATCTATAGATCACCTACAATATTATCTTGATATATGTGAATATCAATTCCATATATGGACTGCCATAGCATCCAATTCCATTTATTTGCTATATCTATTTGTTCTGATCAATCTGAATTACTCTATATGTCTTATAGTTTGAATTACTATATTTTTGATTTCCAATTATGAATCTCGGTATCTATTGAAAGAATCAAATCAATGAAGGAAAAGCGATACATATAGGCCTATTCAAAAATCACGTAGTAATCTTGTTTTTTTGAACATTCCCAAGAAGTAATTGAGTAAACCATTGACGGTAGTTACACGGGCATCGAAAAGGAAGAGTAAAACCTCACTGATTTTTAACCCTCGAACCACGATATGAAATAAGTCGATAAAGTCTAAATCCAATTTCAAAAATTCGAAAGCGGTAAATGCGCAATATGTGACTCACCTGACGATCTTATTCTGCATAGTATCTCGTTAGACAACCACTATGTTTATATCCTTTCTTTCTCATACAAAGTGCGTATACACTTAACAAAACCACTTCTTCTTTGAACAGTAAAGAGAGAAACAAATAAAAAAAAGGGTCCGCCCCTCCTCAGTATCACCTAGTAATATAAGAGGCCGTTGATTGGAATAGAAAATTTAGGAAGAATTAGGTTCGAATAAATTTCCCGGATCCTCTCGAACTACAAACACGGGAATCGTTGAAATAGCTCTTTGATTGAAAGAGGATGATTCCTATAATACATTACTCCAGTAGAGTCCAAATGGAATTTCAAAATGAAGATATTTTTATTTTGTTCGTGTTGCAGAACGATCTAGAAAGCAATTGCTATTGATACAGTTTGCTTCCTTAACTCACTTAGTAGGACCCCTAGAGTCCACTCCTTCCCCACACTACGAGTGAAAGGGAAAAGTAAAGACTACCATTAAAGCAGCCCAAGCAAGACTTACTATATCCATATGAATTATGTCCTCATTCTATAAATATAAAGGAATTGCTCCATTATTCCTCACTAATAATAGTGGAATCAATGGCGCAGAGTCAAAAGAACGAAGACTATTAATAAACCAATCCAATAAATTCTCTCATTTTAGAAGAAATTCCTATATGATTTCTAATCGGGAAAGATTAAACACAAGCAAAATCCGCAGTAACATCTCAAGGGAATGTTACTAATGGAACATGTAGGAATAATAGGTCCTATCTTTTTTGTTGACCCTCATTTCACCTGATTGGATGCTTGAGCACTCAGAGATTTTCGTGAGTTCCTCGTATATAATAAAGTATCTTCCGCCCCCTTCCACAACTATTTAGATTTCCTATCAGGGTTTCCAAATCTAATCCAAGGTCCAGTCATTATACAATGCATTAATAATCTAAAATTTGATTTGTAGTAGAAGGTAATTGCGAAGTCTTGATAGCCCCTCTAGCATTCGAATATTTCCTTGAAGCCTAAGCCTAAATATGCAATGCAAGGATATTTACAATTTTTTAGAAAAACCCCAGACCAGATGTTTAAAATCAAACAAAGTATCAACAGTCTGCTTTCTCTTCTGCTGGGGAATCATTCGGCGAGTTATATCAACAGAAGAAAAGAAGAGATTTCTAGTTTTTTTGTTGATCAGGCGACACCGGATTTGAACTGGGGAAAAGGATTTGCAGTCCTCTGCCTTACCACTCGGCCATGTCGCCAAAATGCTACAAATACAAAATAGATGAAACTTTCCCGGATTACTGAACTGCTTTTTATTGTACTTGCACCTTGAGTTCTGTTTTCCTGACTTTTCCTAAAAGTCAAGGAAATCCTAATCCTTCTTCCCTTTTGATTGGGTTTGATTCATTCTTTCAATTTTGATTGAGTCTATCTCAAAATTCTTAATGTTCAAAACTTTCTATCTACCTTCTATTGAAAAATCAAATGTGGATTTTCAGTCGCAAAATCCAAAATTCAACTTTATGAAAATAGGGAACCATTAACTATTGACTTAGAATGCATGAATGATTCTTGGATTTGAATCTCCAAATTTTTGTTTTCCACGACATAAGAAAACACAACTTGATATATAATATCATCAGTATGGATTTTTTCAATCAAAAAATCCTTCTCAATTTTAATTATTAATTATAACAACAATTATGACATATTAACAAACCCCCCAAGAGAAATTGTTAGACGGATATATATTATTTTTATATGTTCCCGATATAGAATTATCAGATATCAGAAAAGTATCATACTTCAATTTTCATTTTGAATAGAAAATTTCAATTCTGTTTTCGTAGAGCACAACCCAGTTGCCTGAATGGTAGAACATAGAACGACAATAAAACAATAAAAGAGAAGGAAAGATTATATTATAGATATCTCCAATAATGCGTTTAAGCCATACAAACCTTCTTTCTTATACACTTACAATCGTATTCTTACTCAAAAATCCGTAAACAAAGTCTCTCTCTTCTCTGCGAATCATTTTTGACCAACGAAATCCATAACATAAAAGGGGTTTTAATGCCAAAAAAACCGATTCTAATTCTATATATTCTTTCTGATTTTTATGCCTTTATCTCAGCGAAAAGATCAAATGTCCAATCCATTTATTTTTCTGGTATTCAAGCAGGTTGGAATATGTATTATCATAATAATGGAGAAATAAATCATTTTTGTTTTGATATTCTATACGAAATCCTATAACTTAATTAATAAGTCTAAGTAGCAGAAGTCTGTTTCTAGGATGTTTTATCAATTTCTTTCCATTTTGTATCTGTTGAAAATTCCACAAATTCCAATTCAATTTAAGTAGAAAATTCTCTTTCTTCCTCCGTTCATACGTATTTCATACATTCCAGATATGGAGTTGGGTAAAATTTCATGTGATTCGGTAAACAAAATAGAAATGCCATCATTGCTAGATCATTTATCTAATCTATCTAATTAGATGAAGAATGAACCAACAGTGGTATTTTGATAAATGGGAAATTAAAAATGCTCGGGGATGGAAATGATAATATCTACAATACCTGGATTTAATCAGATACAATTTGAAGGATTTTGTAGGTGCATTGATCAAGGTTTGACGGAAGAACATTTTTTTATAAGTTTCCAAAAATTGAAGATACAGATCAAGAAATTGAATTTCACTATTTGTGGAAACATATCAATTGGTCGAACTCCTTGATAAAAGAAAGAGATGCTGTGTATGAATCACTCACATATTCTTCTGAATTATATGTATCCGCCGGAGTAATTTGGAAAACAGTAGGATATGCAAGAACAAATAATTTTTATCGGAAACATTCCTCTAATGAATTTCTGGGAACTTCTATAGTCAATGGAATATAGGATTGTGATCAATCAAATATTGCAAAGTCCCGGTATTTATTACCGATCAGAAGTGGACCATAACGGAATTTCGGTCTATACCGGCACCATAATATCAGATTGGGAGGAAGATCAGAATTAGAAATTGATAGAAAAGCAAGGATATGGTCGTGTAAGTAGGGAAACAAAAATATCTATTCTAGTTCTATCATCAGCTATGGGTTTGAATCTAAGAGAAATTCCTAGAGAATGTTTGCCATCCTGGAAATTTTTTGTCTTCTGGAGGATAAGGAGAGAAAAAACAAGTCAAAAGAAAATGCCATTTTGGAGTTTTATCAACAATTTGCGTGTGTAGGTGGCGATCCGGTATTTTCTGAATCCTTATGTAAGGAATTACAAAGAAATTCTTTCACCAAAGATGTGAATTAGGAAGGATTGGTCGACGAAATATGAACCGAAGACTGAACCTTGATATACCCCAGAACAATACATTTTGTTACCACGAGATATATTGGCAGCCGCCGATCATTTGATTGGGCTGGAAATTGGAATGGGTGCAATTTGACGATATGAATCATGAAAAATAAGCGTATTCGTTCTGTAGCAGACTTTTACAAGATCAATTCGGATTGGCTCTGGTCTGTTTAGAAAATGTGGTTCGGGGACTATATGTGGAGCAATTCGGCATAAATTGGGATCACACACTTCAGAATTTGGCAATCCTCAACTCCATTAACAACTACTACGAATCCTTTTTCGGTTTACACCTATTATCTCAAGTTTTGGATCGAACTAACCATTGACACAAATAGTTCATGGGAGAAAATTAAGTTATTTGGGCCCGGGAGGACTGACAGGTCGCACTGCTGCTGGATACGAGATATCCATCCTAGTCACTATGGACGTATTTGCCCAATTGACACATCTGAAGGAATCAATGTTGACTTATTGGATCCTTAGCAATTCATGCGAGGATTGGTCATTGGGGATCTCTATAAAGCTCTTTTATGAAATTTCTGAGAGGTCAACCGGGGTACGGATGCTTTATTTATCACCAGGTAGAGATGAATACTACTATGGTAGCGGCAGGAAATTCTTGAGCCTTAAATCGGGATATTCGGGAAGAACAGGTTGTTCCAGCTCGATACCGTCAAGAATTCTTGACTATTGCATGGGAACAGGTTCATCTTCGAAGTATTTTTTCCTTTTCAATATTTTTCTATTGAGCCCTCATTCCTTTTATCTAACATAATGATGCGAATCGAGCTTAATGAGTTCTAATATGCAACGTCAAGCAGTTCCTCTTTCTCGCCTGAGAAATGCATTGTTGAACCGGGTTGGAACGACAAGCAGCTCTAGATTCGGGGGCTCTTGCTATAGCCGAACGCGAGGGAAGGGTCGTTTATACCAATACTGACAAGATTCTTTTTTAGCAGGTACGGAGATATTCTAAGCATTCCATTAGTTATATATCAACGTTCCAATAAAAATACTTGTATGCATCAAAAACTCCAGGTTCCTCGGGGTCAATGCATTAAAAAAGGACAAATTTTAGCGGATGGTGCTGCTACAGTTGGTGGCGAACTTGTTTTTGGGGAAAACGTATTAGTAGCTTATATGCCGTGGGAGGGTTACAATTCTGAAGATGCAGTACTTATTAGCGAGCGTTTGGTATATGAAGATATTTATACTTCTTTTTCACATACGGAAATATGAAATTCAGATGCATGTGACAAGCCAAGGCCCTGAAAAAGTAACTAATGAAATACCGCATTTAGAAGCCCATTTACTCCGCAATTTAGACAAAAATGGAATTGTGATGTTGGGATCTTGGGTAGAGACGGGTGATATTTTAGTAGGTAAATTAACACCCCAGGTCGTGAAAGAATCGTCGTATGCCCCGGAAGATAGATTGTTATGAGCTATACTTGGTATTCAGGTATCTACTTCAAAAGAAACTTGTCTAAAATTACCTCTAGGTGGCAGGGGTCGGGTTATTGATGTGAGGTGGATCCAGAAAGGGGTGGTTCTAGTTATAATCCCGAAACGATTCGTGTATATATTTGCTATGAAAACGTGAAATCAAAGTAGGCGATAAAGTAGCCGGAAGAAATGGAAATAAAGGTATCATTTCAAAATTTTGCCTAGACAAGATATGCCTTATTTACAAGATGGAAGATCCGTTGATATGGTCTTTAACCCATTAGGAGTACCTTCACGAATGAATGTAGGACAGATATTTGAATGTTCAATTAGGTTAGCAGGAGTCTGCTAGACAGACATTATCGAATAGCACCTTTTGATGAGAGATATGAACAAGAAGCTTCGAGAAACTAGTGTTTCGGAATTATATGAAGCCAGTAAGCAAACAGCGAATCCATTGGTATTTGAACCTGAATATCCAGGAAAAAGCAGAATATTTGATGGAAGGACGGGGAATCCTTGAACAACCTGTTATAATAGAAAGCTTCCTATATTCTGAAATTAATTCATCAAGTTGATGATAAAATCCATGGGCGTTCCAGTGGACATTATGCGCTTGTTACACAACAACCCTTAGAGGAAGAGCCAAACAGGGGGGACAGCGGGTAGAGAAATGGAGGTTTGGGCTCTTGAAGGGTTTGGGGTTGCTCATATTTCATAGAGATGCTTACTTATAAATCGGATCATATTAGAGCTCGCCAGGAAGTACTTGGTACTACGATCATTGGGGGAACAATACCTAATCCCGAAGATGCTCCAGAATCTTTTCGATTGCTCGTTCGAGAACTACGATCTTTAGCTCTGGAACTGAATCATTTCCTTGTATCTGAGAAGAACTTCCAGATTAATAGGAAGGAAGCTTAATCGGAATGAATAATAATTTTCGTCTATGATCGATCGATATAAAACATCAACAGCCCGGGAATTGATCAGTTTCTCCTCAACAAATAAGTGCTTGGGCCACAAAAATCCTGCCTAATGGAGAGATAGTTGGAGAGGTAACAAAACCCTATACTTTTCATTACAAAACTAATAAACCGGAAAAGATGGATTATTTTGTGAAAGAATTTTTTGTCCTATAAAAAGCGGAATTTGTGCTTGTGGAAATTATCGAGTAATCGGAGATGAAAAGAAGACCCGAAATTCTTGTGAACAATGCGGAGTCGAATTTGCTGATTCTCGGATACGAAGGTATCAAATGGCTAATCAAACTCGCATGCCCAGTAACCCATGTGTGGTATTTAAAACGTCTTCCTAGTTATATTGCGAATCTTTTAGATAAACCTCTTAAAGAATTAGAAGGCTCTAGTATACTGCGATGTGTGATTTGATCGAAATTCTGATTTTATGACTTGAAGGAGAGAAACTGTCATCCCAGTCAATCCAATTG